GGCTCATTTTTGTATTTTTTGGTAGAGATGGGGTTTCACCATGTTGGCCAGGGTGGTGTCAAACTCCTGGCCTTAAGTGATCCACCCGCCTCAGCCTCCCAAAGTGCTGGGATTACAAGTATGAGCCACTGTGCCCAGTCAAATTATGAAAGGTAAGTATGGCTTTTGATATGCGCTTGTTGGTGCATGCCTCTAGTCCCAGTTACTTGCAAGGCTGAAGTGGGAGAACTGCTTGAGCCCAGGAGTTGGAGGCTTCAGTCAACTATGATGGCACCACTGCACTCCAGCCTGGGCAACACAGCAAGACCCTGTCTTTAAAAAAAGAAAGTATGGCTTTTAGTAAAGAAACAAAAAGTCTTAAAATTCAGTATTTAATTTCTAAGTTGTATAGTTTTAATTTTCATAAGCTGCTCTTGAATAAATTCATCTGTCAAACTGAATTATATATAAACTTCACAATTAAATGTTACATTATCTTCTCCGATGCATATATATGCACATATTATAAATCTGTGTGTGTACATTTAAGACTATAAGTGTATAGAGTCCCCTACAAATGTGCAACCTCTTCCGCTTAACAAAACCAACTAAATAACCAATAAAGAAGAAAAATCATGATTCAGACATTAAACCATGGTGACAGAAAATATACTTTAGGCCAGCCGCAGTGGCTCATGCCTGTAATCCCAGCACTCTGGGAGGCCAAGGCGGGTGGATCATGAGATCAGGAGATCGAGACCACCCTGGCTAACATGGTGAAACCCTATCTTTACTAAAACTACAAAAAGTTAGCCAGGTGTGGTGGCATGGGCCTGTAATCCCAGCTACTTAGGAGGCTGAGGCAGGAGAATCACTTGAACCTGGGAGGCAGAGGTTGCAGTAAGTTGAGATTTCGTCACTGCACTCTAGCCTGGGTGACAGAGTGAGATTCCATTTCAAAAACAAATAAATAAAATGAAATAAAATATACTTTAAGGGAGCTAAAAAAAATCACAAGAGAAAAATCAACTATATCTGGTTTTTCATTTTTCTTTAAAAAAAAAAAAAAAAATGTGGTCTTACTATGTTGCCCAGGCTGGACTTGAACTCCTCAGCTCAAGCAAGCCTCCTGCCTCAGCCTTCCAAATAGCTGGGACTCTAGGTGCTTACCACAACACAGGCTCAATTATAACAGTTTTTATAACTACTTTAAGTGAAACTTACATTTTTAATGATCTCAATTCAATCAAGTTTTTAAAAAAATCTTGTAATACTTTCTCAAATCATGAAAAGGGTGGGTTTTGTTAACCAATACAAGGAGTCTGCAAAACTACAGCTCATGTGCCCAATCTGGCCTGCTGCTTCTTTTTGTAAATAAAGTGTTCATGGAACACAGCCACGTTCATTTGCTTATACAGTGCTTTCACACTATGATGGCAGAGACGAGTAACTGCAACAGAGATCCTATAGTCAGTCTATAAAGCCTAAAACAGTTCCTATTAGTCCATTTACTTAAAAAAACTTACCAACCTCTGCTCAATATGGACAAGAATTTCATGAGACATCCAGAGTGAGCAACGTCTGTGGGAGAAGACAGCTACAGGCCAAATTCTCTACAAACACACTAGTTGGTATTGCTCACCCCTGCTGGGCCATCTGTGACATGGATTTTAATTTCTTCCTGAACTGCAACTTGTCTCAGTTTGTTCAGATTATCTAACCACTTACCGAATTATCTAACCATCTACTATGTCCTCCCCACAAAAGTTTCACTTCTTTCTATCCCTACAACGCAGCTTCGTGATTCCTTATTCTAGGAATTTACTGAGTTGAAATAGTGTTATTTCCGCCTCTTCAAGTATATATTTTTTTTTTTTTTTTTTTTTGAGATGAGTCTCACTCTGTTGCCCAGGCTGGAGTGCACTGGCGCAGTCTTGGCTCGCTGCAACTTTGGCCTCCTGGGTTACAGCGATTCTCCCACCTCAGCCTCCTGAGTAGCTGGGACTACTTTAAGGGCACACCACTATGTCTGGCCAGTTTTTGTATTTTTAGTAGAGATAAGGTTTCGCCATGTTAACCAAGATGGTCTCAAACTCCTAAACTCAGGCGATTCAGCTGCCTCAGCCTCCCAAAGTGCTGGGATTACAGGAATGAGCCACTGTGCCTGGACCTCAAGTATACAATTTTTACTGAATTGTATTTCCTTCTCGCTGTCCTAATTTAATAGCATTATGAGGTCATACCACATTTTCTAGGATGTTAAACATTCCTCCCTACTTCCTAACTCATGTGTCTCTTAAACATAATGGTGGCGTATATAGATAGACAACTTAGTGTGCAGGTTCTTTGCTATGGTCACAGATAAAAAAAAAAAAAATACTGTATTACAGACTCAGGATTGAGCTTAAAGCCCTCCATCACCAACCCTAACCTAAACTGCTACTAACTCACTGTTAAAATATGATTTACAGTTAAGGAGAAGCTACTGTTGATAAAGCTCTTAAGAAATTTTAACACACAACCAGATTTACAAACTGCTGTTTTGAACATTAATGAATGTATTTTAAGGAAAAAATAAAACTAAAAATCTATCATGCTATTTAGGCTTTTTATGAACCAACTAGTTCATTCGGCAAATATTTACTAAGCATCTACCATATTCAGGCACTGTTATAGGCACCAGGGATACATCAGTAAACCAAAAACATAGCCCTTGCCCTCAAGTAAGCCCACAGTCTAGCTGGAGAAGACTGACAAGAAATCAATAAACTAAATAATATGCCATATACTGTAGGGCAGTTGTTAGTGCCTGAGCAGGGTGGGGACCAGCAGTGCAAAGGGACAGAGAGTGATAGTGGCTATTATCTTATATAGTGAGATGAGAGCAGGCTTTTCTGATAAAGTGACATTTGAGAAGCAGCGTGAACCAAAAAGCAGCAGCAAGCCGTGCACAAAGACAGTAACAACAACAACAGAAAGAGTGGTAGGAAAAGCAGTTTACCTTAAAGGATATTAAATTACTAAATTATTTTTAAAACTATTTGATCTACAGGGATCATCTTCCATTCAATCAACATCAAAACAGCAGGAAATGGTGTATATGGATATCTTCCCTAGCAAACTGAGTAAATATTCTTATATTTTTGTTTTAATCCACTGAATTTAGGAAACAAGAATAACTAAACAATGATTCTAAAGATACCCTGACGGTAATTTTAAAAACTGCTATAGGCCCGGTGACGTGGCTGACATCTGTAATCCAGGCACTGTGGGAGACCAAGGCAGGTGGATCACATGAGGTCAGGAGTTTGATACCAACCTGGCCAATACGGTGAAACTCTGTATCTAATAAAAATAAACAAATTAGCTGGACATGGTGGCACACGCCTATAATCCCAGCTACTACGGAGGCTGAGGCAGGAGAATTGCTTGAACCCAGCAGGCAGAGGTTGCAGTGAGCCAAGATTGTGCCATTGCACTCCACCCTGGGCAACAGAGCAAGACTCAATCTAAAAAAAAAAAAAACAAACTGCATATAAACCACTGGAATATATATAAACATTACAACTCAGAAGGGTCATGATAATCCAATTAGTAGGTACCATGGTTTTATATGTAAAAGAATATAAAAATAATTAATTTTGAATATAATCTTGAAAATCTTACAGGATGATTTCATATAAATTCTTAAACATCTCTTACATTTTTACAATTTAAGGAACTAGTACTTTTAAAAAGTTAACACTGTTTATACTGATGGCAGGTAACATACATATCAATTTACTTATAGCAAGTAATTCCTGCAATTATTTTTACTAAATACCTATTTACCATAAGAGTAATATATATTCACACAAATTATTAATCTGAAAACCTATTAAACAAGCACCATTATTTATACTTTAATCAAAGAATAGGTAAATGTACAATTTAAAAATAAGTGACTGTGAGTGTTAAGCACTCAAATACACCTGTAATGACAACCAGAGCAAACATAAGAGTAAGGAGAAGTGCAATGGCTTGCTGTGATAAAACCTTTACCAATTCTATGTATCATAAAGGGGATGGATACTTCATTAATTACCCCTTGGTATAACCTTACTCAGATTCCTTTAAAATTTCCTTATCGAAACTATATAAACCAAGATAACATTCTGTCTCCCAGCATTATTCTCAGTTTACCATACTACAGTGGAAGCTCACTGTAACTGACTCCACTATAGGCTGGATTAACAGCACAATTATACCTGTGAATCTTTTTTTAAAACTTTTGGAAGCAGATCACTCTAGATTCTTGAAGAGTTCCAGGAACTGCTATTTCCAACCATGCAAACTTAATTCCCAAATTATTTTCCACTATGAAAAATATAATATTATCAAGGGAAAAGGTGAAGAGAGGCCAAATCAATGATTTACGCCTACTCAGCACAATTCTTTGGGAATATTATCATACAGATAAAAAATTTGGAGTTGCTGCAATTACCTTCTGTTAAGTGGTAGTTACTCTGGTATAGTGTCCAGTCTTTCTACCATTCCAGAGGACTCTTGGAAAAAGGGCTGTGGAGAAGTAGAATTAGAGTCCTCCCCAGTATTCATCTGAGTTTGTTAAGACCTCTTGTTCACAGACCTATAACTAAGTGGCTTCAACTGACGGTCCATCACAGATGGTGTGTCATAACGGAAAGAATATAGGTTTTGGATTCTGATACGGGATCAAAGCCTGTCTCAGCCTCTTGCTATTGTGTGATCTTGGGCAAGCTACTTAGTCTTTTTCAGACTCAGTTTTCTCAGATATGAAATAATACACTCTTATGAAGGTAGCTGTAAAGACCAGAAATAATGTATTTAAGGCATCAAAGACAGGGCCTGAAACACAGGCTCTCAGTAAATGCCATTATGAATAGTAAGATCTACAAAGCAAAATCCAGTATTGAAGCTATAATTCAGAGTCTATTTTCATCGATTAAAATGTCTTATGAAAGGGCTAAAGATAAAATAATTATAATAGTTTATTTTATTACCATCAAGTTCACAAAAGTGATCCCGTGAATCATCGTATCTTGCCCAGTCAATGAAAGCTTCTTTGCTTTGATTACTATGGGAAAGAGAAATAAAAAAGAAAAATTATTAAATTTGGAGTTGAAAATGTTAACACTGTATTCTAGTGTAATTAAAATAGGTAATTTGAGGTCAGTTAAAGATTAGGTGATGTCACATTCTGTTATATTAAGGAATGACAACAAGCAAGTCATATAAAAATACATATATTAATTTCCTTGGTTAATTCATATTTCTTAACTACATTGAATTAGGACTAGTTCAAAAACAATTTTGACTAGAAAATAACTTACAAATAAATATCACATGTAAACACAAAACTCAAGCTAAACTTTTCAATTCACTTAAAAATTATGTTAAATCTATTTTTTCCTGAAGTAGAAATTAAATATACTTTCAGAATTCTTTTAAATTACTTTTATACTTACAAGATCTAAAATATCAAGAACTGTATTTCTACAATCTCCCCTGCAATGTGGTATTCACTGGTGACACCAATGCCACTTTTATCATGGGTATCATTCCTTTTACATCCATCCTACTTCACATTTAACAAAACCTATGATCAAGACTTCTAACCTCAAGAACTGATAAGGAACAACTACATTTACCGAAATCAACTTTGATCTACGTTAACTTAAACCTATATTCAGGCCTTCCCTGTATAGAATACTCATGATGACAGGATCTATCAGAGAAGTATAATTTTGCTGCCCTCTTTATTCGTAACACAAAAGGAAAAAACAAGGTACAAAACTGTATAAATCAGGCTTATAAAGGTAAGAATCACATAATTCCTAAATGTGGTACCTGTCATAATCGTGAATTTGTTTCGTGTTTGAGAAACCGCTACAAAGAAGTATATAAGCTTGGCTGAACGACATCAACTATATCAATACATTTTTCCAGTTTAACTTACTATGTTATTTTTTCTCTATTGGAGTATGTAATAAAAGTTAATGAAAAAAATTGTACCACCGCTGACTCAACTGAAATACATGATGCCATAAACAATGCCTAATTACAGCTAAAATGACGTAACTAAAGTTGTGTTTAATAAGATAGAATCTATGTTGAAAACAGTGAAGAACAAATCAATAGTGACATAAATTCCTATTTTCTTGTTAACAGTATGACTGACTTTCAGGAACTTTCTTCTTTGAGCATCCTGCTTTGAGGAGACACATTCTCATTTGAAACTTTGCTGATTATTTCACCTAACCCCTGCCTAAAACCATGGGGAAGTCACGCCTAAGTCACAAAAAACACTGAAGGTGCATCTAATGCTAATAAAGCTGGCTCAGCTTGATTCATAAATGAGTTAGAACGGACCTTAGAGGTCATCCAGTTCAGTTTTTCCAAAAGTCAGTTTGAAGACGGATGCAACACTCTTTGCATGAGAATTTCTTGGGCTTAATTCAGCACTTCTTCCAAGATAGTGTACCGAGGTTAAAGTAGTAGTTTCAAACTGGGAAGTGGGGAGCATAAAAGATGGAATAAGGAATGAGAAACTTTCTGGATGTGATAAATATCTTTTTTTCTTTTTCTTTTTTTTTTTTTTGAGACAGGTCTCCCTGCATCTAGACTGGAGTGCAGTGATGTCATAGCTCACAGTAGCCTTAAGTTCATGGGCTCAAGTGATCCATCTTCAGCCTCCCATGTAGCTCAGATTACAGATACATACCACCACATCCGGCTAATTTTTTTATTTCTATTTTTTGTAAAGATGAGGTCTCACTGTGTTGCCCAGGCTGGTCTCAAACTCCTGGGCTCAAGTGATCTACCTGTCTTGGCCTCGCAAAGTGCTGGGATTACAGGCGTGAGTCACCATGCCAAGTCTCTCTCTCTCTCTACATAGATATATACGCATACACACACACACACACACACACACACACACACACACACACACACACACAGAGGTGTGTGTATTTTTTTTTTTTTTCTGAGACACAATTTCACTCTGTCACCCAGACTGGAGTGCAGTGGCATGATCTTGGCTCACTGCAACCTCTGTCTCCTGGGCTCTAGTGATTTTTCTGCTTCAACCTCCTGAGTAGCTGAGATTACAGGCACCCACCACCATGCCTGGCTAATTTTTTTTAGTAGAGACAGGGCTTCACCATGTTGGCCAGGATGGTCTCGAACTCCTGGCCTCACGAGATCCCCCTGCCTCAGACTACCAAAGTGCTGGGATTACAGGCATGAGCCACCACACCCAGCCTATGGTGTCTTAATTGTGATGACGTTATATGGCTGGACATATGTCAAAATCAAACTGTATACTTTATGTGCAGTGTATTATATTTTATTAAACCTCAAAATAAAGCTGTCTAAAGATTATAGTACCAATCGCTGGAGAAGTTGTAGAACAAGTGAGTGATACACTGCTAGTAGCAATATAATTTAGTGAAAATTTTGGAAAACGATTTGGCAGTACCTAATACCATTCCTAGGTATATTCTCCATGGAAATGTACACATGTACCTACCAAATATATTTATTTATTTAATTTACAGATAGGGTCTCTGCCACTCAGGCTGTAGTACAGTGGCACAATCATAGCTCACTGCAGTCTCAAACTCATGACCTCAAGTGATCCTCCTGCCTCAGCCTCTTGAGTAGCTGAGATCATAGGCACATGCCAGGCTAATTTTTTTTTAAATTTTTTTGTAGAGACAGGATCTCACTTTGTTGTCCAGGCTGGTCTGGAACACGCAGCTTCACACAATCCTCCTGCCTTGCCCTCCCAAAGCACTGGGATTACAGGCATGAGCCACCATGACCAGCTGTATCCACTAAAATCTTTTTGAAATGGCCCGAAAGTATAAGCTATCAACAGCAGAATGGAAAATGGAAACACGGTACATTCTTACTATAGAATACTACATGCCAATAAAAAAAAGAATTAAATGTTACTATGCCCAAAAACATGAATGAGTCTCAGATACATGTTAACAAAAAGAAGCCAGATACAAAAGAATATGTTCTATATCATTCTATTTATAAATAATTAAAACCAATCTCAGTCAGTACTTTGGAAGATGATAATGACTAGAAAGTACACATGTTAATCTTCTGGGCAGCAAGTATACCGCTCTAGATGGTGGCTACAGAGTTGGGTTCACTTTGTGAAGTTAAATTGACCTTTACACTTAAGAATTTTATACTCTACTGTATGTGTATTATACTTAAACTTTCTAGGCTTAAAAAATAATTTCTGTTCAACAAAACACTATAAGCAAAATTATAAGACAGTCCTAACAACCAATACAGCCAACAAAGGATTATCACATTACATAAAGAGTGCTTACAAATCAGTAATAATTTAAAAAGCCAACCCAATGGAGAAAAAAATGACAAAGAATATAAATGGCAAAGAATATAAACTGGCAATTTACCCCAATATCTTGTAATGACTTAAGCCTAGTCCCTAGATCATTCCTCTATTTACACTCTCTTCCTTGGTGATCTCATTCAGGTTTATGGCTGCTATATACCATCTATTCGTTGACTGACTTTCAGACCTCTCCCCTAATTCAGACTTGTGTATCCAACTGCCTACCTGAAATCTCCAAGTGGATGTCTCACAGGCAGCTCAAACTTAACAAATCCAAATTTGACTATAACTTTTTATCAAACTTGCTCCTCCTGTAGGTGTCCACAGGTCAGTAAATGGCAACTCCATTTTTATAATTCCAAATCTTGTAGTCATCCAAAAGCTCCTATCTTAATACCACATACCCAATGCTGCAGCAAATCCTGTTAGCTTTATCTTCAAAATACATCCAGAACCTGACTGCTTCTCATCACTTCCACTGCTATCACTCGGTCTAAATCACCATAATAGCTTATTTGGATTACTACAATAATCATGTAACAAGGCTTCTGCAAAGTAACATCAGGTTCCCTCAACACATTCCCTTACTCCGCTGTTCAAAACCTCCCAGTGACTTTTTATTCTACCCAATCTAAAAGCAATACTCATTATAATTGCTTTCAAGGCTCTACAAGATCTCTGCCCGCCCCACCTCCTGCCCCATCCCTAGCATCTTTTGCCCTTGTCTTCCACTACTTTGCCCTTGATCACCGGGCTCCAGTCACATTGGTCTTACTGTGTTTAGGTCTAGGCATGATCCTGCCAAGTGGGATTTCAACTAACATTTATATATACCTGGAATGCTCACCCCACAGGCAACCATATTATGACTCGTGCCTCCACCTTCTTCAGCAATTTGTTCAAATGTCCTATTATCACTTTGGTCTCTCTGACCACCCAATTTAAAACAGTGCCACTCTCTCACTCCTAGCCCTCTTTGATCTTCCCTGCTTTATTATTTTCCCTAGCATTCATCATTTTACTTCTCATATTTTATTAAGTCAATAGTTAATAACATTATTATTACATTATTTCCTCCAAAAAGGATCAAGCTACACAAAGGCAGAAATTTTATCAGGTACACTACTGTATCCCTAGCACCCTAGAACAGTGCTTGGCACACCGTAGACATTCATTTGTTGAATAAGAAACTCAAATGTTCCATAAATTCAAAATGCTCTAATCCACTAGTAATCACAAAGTATAAATTAAACAAAAATGAGGTGCTATTTCACACTCATCAAATGTTATCAACTTTTGACAAGGATGTAGAGAATGTACAAGCTCTCATCACTGGAGTCAGTACATACTCACACCAAGTACTACGGAATGTCATCAGGCAGTATCAACAATGTATACAAAAAGACAATCCTAAGATTCAACATTTTTACTTCTAATGTAAAAAAAAAAAATTTGGGAATGCTCAAGATGGCATGTTTGTAAAATTAAATAATTGAAAACAGCTAAGCATCCATCAGTAGGAGAGTAGCTAAGTAAAATATGGCATATTTATATGATGAAAATCATTCACCAGTTAAAAGAATAAATCTGTGTTTCAACATGGACAGATCTAGAAAGCAAACTGTAATGAAAAAAGCTACAGAATGTTAAATATATCATTTATATAAAGGAAAAATTAAACCATATATACAAAATAAAACTATTTTATACATATAAATACATGAGAAAAACAAAAACATGGACTGGATATAGACCACCAAATTCATGATAGTAGTTACCTCTGCTGGATTAGGGAAAAGAACATAAGGAATTTTAAATTTGTGATGTTTCTTGTTCCTTAAAACATATGGCAGAAAATGTTAATATTTATCTGGAATAGAGGCTTATTTATTCGAAATAGAGGATATATATGTGGGTGTTTCTTTCATTTTCCTATATTAAATTTTTTCTTCAATAAGATTGCTAATTTATACTGAGTCATTAGCAACTGAGTCATTTGTACATAGATACAAATCTTTTTTTTTGAGCGGGCGTCAGAGTCTTGCTCTTGTCACCAAGGCTGGAGGGCAATGGTGCAATCTGGGCTCACTGCAACCTCTGCCTTCCAGGTTCAAGCAATTCTCCTGCCTCAGCCTCCCAAGTAGTTGTGATTACAGGCACCCGGCCACCATGCCCAGCTCATATTTGTATTTTTAGTAGAGATGGAGTTTCACTATGTTCACTAGTCTAGTCTTGAATTCCTGACCTCAGGTGATCTGCTCACCTCAACCTCCCAAAGTGCTGGAAATACAGGTATGAGCCACCATGCCCAGCTCATAAATGCAAATCTAATCAAACGGAAATGTAAAGGAATTTCTGAAATATCCCAATCCCAACTACTGATTATTCGCAACTACTGATTATGTCTAGTCATTTTACACTGCACAATTTGAGGTCATTTGTATATTACTTATGCTGATTTCTGTTTAGAATAAGGAAAAATTAGCAGAAAAAAAATCTATGAAATTTAACAGGCTAATAACAACTTTTATCATTCAAAATGTAACGTGCAGACTGAATTACTATTTATAAAAAAATTAAGACTTCAAGTCCCTTCTTCCAAAGTAATCAGGAAGAATGGATCCATAAACCCTGCTAGCTGAACAATCTTGTACATTTCTACTATTTAAAAGATTTGCTATGGATGATATATTCTAGAAACTTAAGGATAAATCAGCCAAGAAGAGGCAAAGCTATTACAAAATTTGGGACAAAGAATAACTTTCTTCCTTTAAAAAATATATTAGTTAAAACTTTAATGGGTACAAAAATGTTTTTCCAAAAATCAAGGTAATATTTTCTTAATACTACCAAAATAAAACTTGCCTTAGTGTGCTGTTAATTGCTCCCAGTTTATTAGCTTGCTCACAGTCTTCTAATTCTTTGGTATTGTTTGCCATTTTCAAGTACTGAAAAGAAGTTCATAAGTTTAGTAATAATTATTGCCTTATGCTTTATTTCAGTTTCTACTGGCAGAATAATCAATCTGTCAACAATGATATACACCAAATATAGATCATTCCATTATAAAAATCCCTATCATATGTAAGAAATACAAATGAAAATCAGGCAGAAATGTCCACCAATTAAATATTACTTCCGTCAACAATGTATTAAAATTTAACAATTAGGCTGGGCGCGGTGGCTCATGCCTGTAATTCCAGCACTTTGGGAAGCTGAAGAGGGTGGGTCACTGAGGTCAGGAGTTCAAGATCAGCCTGGTCAACATGATGAAACCCCGTCTCTACTTAAAAAATAAAAATTAGCAGGGTGTGGTGGCACATGCCTGTAATCCCAGCTATTCAGGAGGCTGAGGCAGAAGAATTGCTGGAACCTGTGAGGTGGAGGTTGAAGTAAGCTGAGATCACACCACTGCACTCCAGCCTGTGTGACAGAGCAAGATTCCGTCTCAAAAAAAAATAAATAAAAATGTAAAAATAAAATTCAACAATTAGCACTGATGGGTTTGTGATAATGTCAACTCAAAAAAAAAAACCCTCTTGGGAGGTAAATTGGATCACACACACACACACACGCGGTCACATTTAGTTCCCAAGAGGGTTTTAATATACATAAAAGATATATACACATACATATGTGTATGTGTGTGTGCGTGTGTGTGTGTGTGTATATATATATGTTTGCAAAATGGTTAAACCTTTGAACCTGCAGCCCCACTGAGAACACATCCCAAGGCAACCACTTTTTTTTAAAAAAAGGTACAGCTGCTTTTGAAAATTATTTGGTATTATTTGTAATGTTGAGATAGGCATGCCTTTGGTTCAGCAATCCTGCCTTGACATGCAGACCTAGAAAAGCTCTTACATGTGAACATAAGGAGACAAAGGACAAAAATGCGAGTGCATTACTGTTTGAAATAGCCAAAAACTGGAAACTGAAATGTCCACTGATAGAGGAACGGCTAATGTGTGTTACAGTCATACAACTGAACACGGCTAGTAAGATGATGAACAAAATCTACATATACCAACAGAGAAAATTTCAAAAGCATAAGACAGTAAAAACACAAACTGAAAAAAAAAAAAGAGTTTGTAACCTAAAGAAATACAAAAATATTTAAATTACAAAAAAATTTTTACACACAATAAATTACATATTACTTGTGGATACACATGCAATAAAAGTACCAACTATATTACTTGTAGATACACCTGAAATAAGAATATAAAACCACAGAAGGATATTTCAGAAAAATGGTTAGCTCCAGGGAGGTAGGAAGTAGAATGGACTGGGAAAGAGCTGGGGAATTTCAATTGCTTTCATATGGTTTTACTTATTTCAAATCTGAAGCAAAAACAAATAGGATAAAGTAAAAACAAAAGATTACACAGGAGAGAGCAAGAAGAAAATGGAAAGGACACACAAGAAGGGGACAGAGAAAGGGTATGATGGCCTTTATTATGTATGCATAGTCATGAAAAACTAGCAATAGTTATCTAAAAATGTATCAATGGCAAAATAAATTACGATACTCTCGTAAGAGGACAAGAACAATCATTAAAAATGAATATCTTAATACCATCTGAAAGTACTCTACTCAAAATTTCTGGGTAATTATTTACTCTATATAATTCTGAACCTGCCAGGCTGACTAGTTGAAACAAAAGACTAAAAATAGCTATGTGACAAAACACCTGCTGACTAGGGGATCTGAAGCTGTAGTTACATTTAATAGTTCTTCCAGACATTTTAAAAACAGTACTGAGCTAATTTCAAAAGAATCTAGGAATGTACAACCTATCTGTAATTGATGCAAGAGTTAGGGATTTGGAATTCTGAGGCAAAAAGTCTCCGTTCCCAACTAACCACATTATGGTTCTTTATTATACCCACTGTCATTCAGTAAATGGTAACTTTCATGATGTAAAGCAGAAAAACATTCAAGGAAGAGGTGGGACTTACCTTATTAGAATGCCCAGCTTTTATTCCAACTGGAATTTTACTCTTAAAACAAGAAAAACAAAAATTTTTAAAGTCATCTTTGCTTTTTTAAAATTTCTTCACAAATTGTCAATGCAAGGTTCTAATTCATCAAGTATTTTGTTCTATGAGGGGCACATACACACTCACTCAAATTCTGTCTTCACAATATCTCATAAGGTAAAAGAGTTATCCCAATATACAGACTATAAGTATAGAAAATTGAGTGACATACACAAAGTCAGAAAGCCAAAATCAGCTCTAATAACTCCTAATGCAGTATTTTTTATATTTACATATTTTAGGTTAAAAACACTGATAATCACTTCTTCCACAAATTTTGTTACCATAGAACATAAACTTTTAAAAGTTCAAAATTCTTTGCAATGTACTATGTGGAACTTTAACTTCTGCTTTAATAAAGTATAGGCAATTTTGGATTACTAGAAGGCTTTTTTGATCCACATAATTAACCTAGAGTTTACCAATCTAATCTAGGGTTTACCAATGGGAGAACTGTGTGTAGATGGAACATTCTTTTTCACAAGGCCAGTGATTAGTGTTTGGTTTTAATAAATGTATCTGAATTATTACAACTGGTTTATCAAATAGAACTTTAAACAAAAATACATAATACATACATACATATGGGTGTGTGTGTGTGTGTATCTATCTATCTATCTATCTATCTATCTGTCTATATATATATATATTTTTTTTTTTTTTTGAGACAGTCTCGCTCTGTCACCCAAGCTGGAGTGCAGTGGCTCAATCTTGGCTCATTGTAACCTCTGCCTCCGGGGTTCAAGCGATTCTCCTGCCTCAGCCGCCTGAGCAGCTGGAATTATTAGAGGAGTGCACCACCACACCCGGCTAATATTTGTATTTTTAGTAAAGATGGGGTTTCACCATGTTGGTCAGGCTGGTCTTGAACTCCTGACCTCCTGATACACCCACCTCGGTCTCCCAAAGTGTTGGGATTACAGGCGTGAGCCACCACACCCAGCCATGTCTTTTATTCTTAAAGGAAACTAAATATTATAAATTTTTAAACAACTTTCCCTGTTGAAAGGACATTGGTATATATTTTTAAGGACAACAAACTAGACTAACTGATTAGTTAAGAAAAGCAAAAAGTGAAAGGAAAACAAAGCTGACAACTAATTAGTGTTGGAGAGGTATATATTAATTACACTAGATCACAAAAATCAAAGTCTAAAGTGTAGCATTCTCTTGTATTAAGTATAGGTTTTTAAAAAATGTAAATGTAACAAGGCCAAACGAAAATAATTCCAAGCCTGAAACTTTCCCAAATAAATCACTGTAAATTTGAAGTATGGGGTCCAGTAGCTTGTTTTTGTTTTTTTATCTATGAAACGAGATGCTGATTCAATAAAGCATGAAATAAAGACAACTGCAGATCCAATCCTAGAACAAGCTTCTGATTTCCCTTTCATTTTAGAATAAGACTGTATTTCCACATTCCATCACCAGTATCACTGGCTACAAGTGTCTTGAAATCCATTTTGGTGTCAAGTATAGAATTTTCAATAACCTGGTTATAAAGGAGAGAGCTAAGAGCATATGGATTTGCTGACATGTCCAAATCCACTGTCATTAGCCTAAAACAGAGGTTATGCTTATCTAAAAGTCTAAGAGAAAACAGTCTTTGTCCTATTATTTTATTTATCATACCTCTGGACAGGGCTCCACATGACAGTCTTTTATTGAACAGTGGCCATCTTCTGCCCAGAAAGGACAAGGTCGCTTCAGATTAACCTTGAGAGAAAGAATAAATTAAAGTTAGTAAACTCATATTATAGTTATAGAATGCTGTCAAAGTGTCACTGTGCTGGGCACCAGTGACACAGTAGTGGGTAAGAAGGAATGCTTCCTATCCTAGTGGCACCTATATGGTTCAGAATTTTAAATGACTGTAATGAGCTAGATCATGCCATTGCACTCCAGCCTGGGTGACAGAGAAAGCATTTAGAACTACTTTAATGTCCTCCAGCCCCCTAATGATATCTTATTAACAAGAGTTCTCTCATGCACCCATTTATTCAACAAATAAGAACTGAGCATCCACTATGTGTCACGCACTGGGTAGGCTCTGGGGGAAAAATGGGCAGAAAAAGAACTCGCCTCTCCCTCTGGAACTTAAAAATCTATTGAAGGAAACAAATTAAATATTTGCATGTTTATTACAAGTTGTGGTCAGTGCTACAAAGAAAATCCAGAGTACTATAATAGTTGTTTTGGTGGATGACGGCCTCTGTGGCGGTAATATTTTAGGACGGAGGAAGTGTGCATATGGATAAGGCAATAAAAAGCCTGGATATTTGTCGTGAACTAAAAAAATACCAGTTGGGCTGACGTTTAGTGTAGAGGGGGAGGGTGGCAAAGCATGAGGATGGAGGTAAACAAGGGACAGATCATGCAGGACGTTTTAACCACAGTAAAAACTCTAGATTTTCGTATTCCACACATTACAGGAAGACAGTAATTCAGCAGGACTTGCAGACTGCCCACGGCAAAATCTAGGTTTCATTCTTTCCTTCCTTTTCTTGTTCCCCATCAAACAATTCATTTTCCACTTTTCACCACCTACCTCTTGCCTACACTATCACAACAGTCTCCCTGCTCCTACTTCTACTTCTATTTCCATACAGCAACTACAGTTATCTATTTAAAATGGATCATATCATATCAATCCTTCTTGAAAAACCTTCCCGTGGCTTCCCATCACTCTTAGAGTACATAAACTCTGCAGCAACTTCCACAATGCCATCCATAACCTGGCCTCTGGCCTACCTCTCTGACCCCTTCTATCATGCTCCTCTGGCCACACTGGCCTTGCTGGGAACATACCACGCTCCCTAGGTCTCATGGTCTTTACCTTGTTTTTCTTTTTTTTTTTTTTGAGACGGAGTTTCACTCTTGCTACCCAGGCTGGAGTGCAATGGTGCAATCTCGGCTCACCGCAACCTCCGCCTCCTGGGTTCAGGCAATTCTCCTGCCTCAGCCTCCTGAGCAGCTGGGATTACAGGCAAGTGCCACCGTGCCCAGCTAATTTTTTTTTTAGTAGAGACGGGGTTTCACGATGTTGACCAGGATGGTCTCGATCTCTTGACCTCGTGATCCACCCGCCTCGGCCTCCCAAAGGGCTGGGATTACAGGCGTGAGCCACCGCGCCCAGCTATCTTGTTTTTCTTTGAGACAGAGTCTTGCTCTGTTACCCAGGCTGGGGTGCAGTGGCACAATCCTGGCTCACTGCAGCCTCAAACTCCTGGGCTCAAGCGATCTTCCTACCTCAGTCTCCCAAGTAGCTGGGACCACAGATGTACCACCATGCCTGGCTAATTTTTGTTTTTAAGTAGAGATGAGGTCTCCTACGTTTCCCAGTTGGGCTGGAATTCCTGGGCTCAAACGATCCACCCACCTCAGACTCCCAAAGTGTTCAGAGTACAGATATGAGCCACCATCCCAGCCTCAAGGTCTTTGTATCAGCTGTACTCTCTGCCTGTATTACTGTTACTACAGATCTTATGTCAGCTCACTCTTTCACCTCATTCAAGACTCTCACGTATCACCTCAGCAGAGACCATTCCTGACCAGGCTTGCTAAAGCAGTGCTCAGTATGCAACCTCTACCCCAACGTGCTGTTTTATATTCTTTTACTGCACTTATCACTAACTAAATGTTATCTGCTTATTTGTTGTCTGTACCTCCCACCAGCATGAGGATCAGAATTTTGCATTATCTTAGTCTTAGTGCTTAGAACAGTGCATAAAAATACATAGTCAGACACATAATTAATATGGTTAAGTAACCAATATCTATATTACAGAGAAGGCGGCAAAGATATGTAGACTGGCCACACAGAGGAGAGGGTGATCAACTCTGACTTTTGGTTTGCAAAATGGGTATGACTAGAAGTGTTTGCGAGAGATTTATAGGCAGCAGGGCAGGATGTGCATAGACAAAGAACCTTAAAACAGCCTGGCACATTTGGGGACTGCAAGTTCTCAGCCTCGACACCTCCCTTAAGCTTCTGGCCTGTATATCCACCTGCTTCCTGGATTATCTCTTCCTGCACAGGGCATTCATAGTTACCTCAAAATTAACATATCCCAAACTGCACCCCTCTTTCTAGTGATTCTCACCATCTGGGTAAACAGCAACTCCATTATTCTAGTTCCTCAAGCCAAAATCTTGGCAGCTTTTCCAGCAATCCCTGAGGGTCTGGCCTCTGACAAGCTACAATCTGGGAACCTATGTAACAAATAAAGAATAAACCTCCTTGAGCTTACACAGAAGGAAGAGCACTCTGTGTGCCTTCTTCCCCTGGTTTACTTCAGGCAATCATGCCAGCCACAGACTCTCTCCTTGGAAAGAGGCTGGAGGCCTCTGCCAGCAAGAACAGGAGGAACAGCACTCTCTGTGCTTGCTTCCCTGGTTTGCTCCTGAGCTAAGTTTCTGCAATTTCTCTTTAGGAGGAGGCAGGGGGACCTCTCTGTGACTAGAAAGAGGAGGAGATATTCCCAGCGTCTTCTCCTCTAGCTTACTTCAGGGAACTCCAGATCAAAAGGTTAACCCTACAACGTGTATCTGAGACTTCTTGCTTGAACGAGAGTGAGCACTCTCTGTACCTCCTTTCCTGGCTTGCTCCAGACACGGTCTCAGCCCTGAAATCTCTCCATAGCATTTCTGTACACTAAAAATGAACAATCAAAAAACATTGAGAAAACAAACATATTTAAAATAACATCAAGAAATAAAACAGTTGTAACTTTAACCAAGAAGGTGAAAGATCTATGTACTAGAAACTAAAACACTAATGAAAGAAACTGAAAACAAGTAAGTGGTAAGATAGCCTATATTCACTGATTGGAAGAATTAAACTGTTAAAATGTCCATACTACCCAAAGTGATCTACAGACTCAATGCAATTCCTGTCTAAATTCTTATATCATTTCTTTACAGATATATATAAAATGATCCAGCCAGGCACAGCAGCTCACATCTGTAATCCCAGCACTTTAGGAAGCAGAGGTGGGAGAGTTAGTTGAGGTCAGTTCAAAGTTTTCCAGGTTACAGTGAGCTATGATTATGCCACTGCACTCCAGCCCAGGCAATAGAGCAAGATCCTGTCTCAAAACACAAAACAAAACCAAAAACAAAAAAAGAAAGAAAAACTAACAATCCTAAAATTTGTATGGAACTAGAAAAGACCCTGATTAGCCAAAGCAAACATGAGCAAAAAGACCAAAGGTGGAGTCATCGCATGCCCTGATTTCAAAATATATGGTAAAGCTACTGTAATCACAACAGCATGGTACTGGCATAAAAACAGACACATCAACCAACGGAACAACTTAGGAAGCCCGGAAATAAACCTAAGAATCCCAAGTATGTATGATAACTGATATCTGACAACAGTGTCAAGAACACACAACAGGGAAAGGACAGACTCTTTCATAAGGTGTTGAGACAACTAGATATCCACGTTCACAGGAATGAAGCTGGATCCTTATCTCATAAAAAAAATCAATTCAAAATGGATAAAGACTTAAATGTGATATCTGACATTATAAAGTGATTAGCAGAAAATACAGTGGGAGATCTCCTCAGCACTGCCATGTCTGAGCAACGATTTCTGGGATAGGACTCCAAAAGCACAGGCAGGAAAAGCAAAAAAACAGACAAATGGGATTACATCAAAATGAAGCACTTCTGCACAGCAAAGGGAACAATCAAAAGAGTAAAAGACACCCCATGGATTGTGAGAGAGTATTTACAAACCATACATCTAATAAGGGACTAATAACCAAAATGTATAAGGAACTCAAACAACCCAATAGGGAGAACACAAGTAACTTGATTTCAAAAAGGGAAAAGGATCTGGACAGACATTTCACGAAAGAAGAGGTAAGAACTGCCTATGGATATGTGAAAAAATACTCAACATTTCTAATCATCAGGGAGACGTAAATTAAAACCATGGTGAGCTATCACCTCACACCTGTTAGAATGGCTACTATCAAAAAGATGAATGATAACAAGTGTTGACAAGGATGTGGAGAAAAAGAAATCCTTGTAAATTATTGATGGGAATTTAAATTAGTACAGACGTTTTAGAAAAAAAACTATGGTGGTTTCTAAAAAAACTAAAAAAAGAATTACCACATGAGCCAGCAAACCCTTCTGGGAATTTAAAGGAATTGAAATCAGTGTGTTTAAAAGATATCTACATTCCCATGTTCATTTCAGCACTATTCACAATAGCTAAGATATAACCTAATAACCTAAGGGTTGGTCTTGAAGGGACCTCAAATTATCCACCAGCCTTGGCCTCCCAAAGTGTTGGGATTACAGGAGTGAGCTACCGTGCCTGGTCCTGCTGTTTTAAGCTGCTAAATTTAAGGCTAATTTTTTATTCAGCAACAGAAATACATAGTGCAAGGAGTAGACTGTAGACACTGTAACATGTTACTCAGATCACGCTTCAAGAATAAAGGGGTTATAATCAGCCCAGCTGTGGAAATGTTGCAGGTAGACAACCTCAGTTAAAAAGAGCCACCTTACCCAAGATTGGCCTTCATCCAATGACCAACTGATGTATGGATAGAAAGGCCTAGACCTCTCACCCCAAATGGGGACAACTAACTCTGAAGGCTTATTCCATCTTAAGAATTCCCCACAGGCTTACCTGATGTTTCCACTGAGGCTACATCACAGCTTGATTTCTCCCTTTGCCCAATCCTGATTTACGGCCTTCCCCAAACTGTTGGTCCTAAGAGTAGTCTCTAATTAAGCTCTTGTACACTTATCACCGTCTCAGAATATGCTTCCCGGAGAACCTAACCTGTGGCAACTTGTCTAGCTCCAGGAAAAAAAATAAAAAGTTCTGTTTTTTTTTTGTTTTGTTTTGTTTGAAATGAAGTCTCGCTCTGTCCCCCAGGCTGGAGTGCAGTTCTGCCTGTAATCCCGGCACTTCAGGAGGCTGAGGCAGGTGACTCGCTTAAGGCCAGGAGTTCAAGACAAGCCTGGCCAACATGGTGAAACCCCGTCTCTACTAAAAATACAAAAATTAGCCAGGCATGGTGGCACACACTTGTAGTCCCAGCTACTTAGGAGGCCTGAGGCAGGAGAATTGCTTGAACTCAGGAGGCAGAGATTGCAGTGAGCCAAGATCACGCCACAGTGCTCTAGCTTGGGTGACAAAGTGAGACTCTGTCTCAAAAAAGAAAAGGTGGGAGGGGAGTAAGGGATGAGAAATTACATAAGGGATACAATCGATGCACACTATTTGGGTGATGGTTCCATTAAAAGCCCAGGCTTCACCACTAGGCAATATATCCATGTAAAAAAACTGCACTTGTACCCCTTAAATTTATACAAAAAATGTAAAATAAAATTTTATGGCTCTAGTTTTTTCTTTTTTTCGTCTTTTTTAAATCACAGCCATCACACTGGATAGTTATTTTTTCTTGTTTGACTGTGCTGGGTAGTATATCCAACAGTTATGGAAATAGTGGATATCCTTGTCTTGATTCCTGACGAAGTGAGAATTCCTCTAGTATGCAAGATGTTGGCTATGCTAACGTCAGAACTGAAATAATCACGTTAAGAAATATACAATTCCTTATTTATTAAATTATTTTAAAAATCAGGAGCATATATTTAATTTTCTCCATAAAACTTAGCTTATAACATCTGAAATCATATTTTATTGTTTAATTATCGTTTGTCGCTCTTATCAGAGCAAAAGTTTTGTCTTATTCACTACTGTATCCATAGTACCTGCTACAAACTAATCATTCAATAAATATTTAGTGCATAAAGGAATGGACTGAGAAGTAGAAAAGAGAAGTTAGAAATACCAGCTACAGCAGCCAACTGCCAAACTGCATAAAGGCATACCTACACCTGTGTTCCTTGCTTCTTGAATAATAAGTGTGTATGTGGTATGTGTTTAAAATTCACCTCTTTTTGGCTGGGTGTGGTAGCTCATGCCTGTAATCCCACCACTTTGGGAGCCCGAGGTAGGTGGATGACCTTAGGTCAGGAGTTCTGGATAGCCTGGTCAACATGGTGAAACCCCATATCTACTAAAAATATAAAAATTAGCCAGGTACGGTGGTGTGGGCCTGTAATTCCAGCTACTCAGGAGGCTGAGGCAAGAGAACCACTTGAATCCAGGAGGCTGAGGTTGCAGTGAACCAAGATTGCACCACTGCACTCCGGTCTGGGTGACAGAGCGAGACTCTCTCAAAAATAGTAATAATAAAAAATTAACCTCCTCTCTTAGCTTTTTCTTTTTAAAGCTTTCCTTTTTTGCCACTGTTGTAGGCAGAGTATATTGGGTAGAGTATATTCCTTTTTATTTATTTCATAGATTGACACAATAAAAAGAGGAGTGGATATCACCCAAATATCCTAAAGTTAGAGCTGAATGCATTAACTAGATCATGGCATTAACCCTCCGCTGTGAGAGGGTATGAGGACATTTTGGTTTCCTATGGAATAATTTCACTGTGTTGATCAGAACATTTTTAAACCCCATGTGTAAGAGGAAGAATGAGATTGTATGTTGAGTAGCCAAGTAGCCAAGAGCCACATTGCCATTTTTGCCAATCCAACTTCCACTTTTCCTTCTTTTGTAACAGTCCCTCCCTAATTTCCCTTTGGGAAACAATGACTCCACTTTTATTCATGCAAATGAGACTGTCAACCAAGATGTCCTTCCTTCTTTTGGTCCAGGGGGTCACATATTCTGACCCTACCTAGATAGAAACATAACTCTTGGCATATAGTTTGCAAAATATAGAAAAATAGTAAATTTGATGCAAAACTCCAGTGATTCCTTAAAGAAAATGGTCATTAGTTCCATGTTTAGTTTCATCTTTTCTGAAGTAAGCTTCCTCATCTCATCTTTCAATTTTGTTAGCTACTCAATATCTTTTTTTAATAAAACTTCTGTTTTATTTGTTAGCCAACAAAAATACCCTATCTGGGATACCTAAACTATGATGTCTTCGTCTGAAAAATGTTCCTAATACTGAGAATATTGTAATGTGAAGATTAAATGAGATATGCATTCCAACATTCAAATATTTGAGTACTTCTACTGACCAAGCCTGCTAGGGATAAAGAAATAGAAGCCGCAATCCCAGAGTGAAGGAGTGAAAGACTGAGGGACGTGACATTATGTAGAGATGTAAACTGGACCTCTTGTGAAGAGATGGTCTTTGATGCAAGAAACGCTTCCTCCATTGTATTACATTGAACCATATGAAACTGGCATATTCAATCATTTTTGAAACATAAAAGTAAAAATTTCACATAGTTCAACGTAATGGTAGAAAAGAAGCAAGAGAAAGCAGCTACAAATGCATTTAGATTTATAAATTTAGTGGGGGAAATTTAAAGAAGCACCTGTCTTATTTGTATGTAAAATGCCTAGAATAATAAGACACTTAATAGTTTATTTAGGTATAGATTACTCTTTGATATAAATTCATGAAATATGCATTCCTAAAGGATTTTGTATAGAGGAGAAACATTCATCACCTTTTTTGGACATTCCTGATGCTGACAGGAAAGAGGGATGTGTTTCCAAATCTTTAATTCTCTTACTTGTTATCTTTCTGCACAAGATACTAAATTTTTTTTATCCTCAAAAATATTTAATTTAGCTGACCTAAACCTAGAAAACAAAAATAAAACATGTATTTATTTGTATAGATCAGTTGAGGCCAGGAATTCAAGATGAGTCTTGGCAAACATGGCAAGACCCTATCTCTAAAACAAAAACATATATATATTATTAAATAATAAAATATATATATTTAGGCCAGGCGCAGTGGCTTATGCCTGTAATCCTAGCACTTTGGGAGGCCGACACAAGTGGATACATCTGAGGTCAAGAGTTCAAAACCAGCCTGGTCAAGATGGCGAAACCCCATCTCTATTAAAAATACAAAAACTAGCTGGGTGTATTCAGAAGGCTGAGGCAGACAAATCACTTGAACCCAGGAGGCAGAGGTTGCAGTGAGCTGGGATCGTGCCACTGCACTCCAGCCTGGGCGACAAAGCAAGACTCTGTCTCAAAAATAGTAATAATAATAAAAAATAAAATGTTGTTCTAAAATGTCAAACACTGTTCTTCTGAATATTGCCTTACTGCCATATTTAAAGATTGCTTTTATCTTTAAACTATGACTGGTTATTTTGTAAAGGTCTACAGTTGACTATTACCAGATTTAAGAACAATTCTGGAGCATTACTACGTGTAGTGGTCTACTTGAAGCCTCAGCCTGTTTTGCCAGTGCTCTCAGAAAGAGGTCCAACAAAAGGTGTTGCTGCAGTACTCTGTACTGCTAACAATGCTAGCACACTGCCATCAGCACAACTCAAAGGCTGAGTAGGTGTGTCCAGATGGCAGAGCTATGTTATAAAGGAGGCTGACAAAATAAGTCTGTAGCATTTTCAGCTTCTGTAGAGAGAGGAGTCTCTGCCTCAAAACCAAAACTGAAAAATGAGAAACTCCTCAAACAAAGGAAGGGGGCTAAGATTGGTATTGTTTAAAAAGATGGACAGCTTTTTACTGTAATACACAATAAATTCAAATGATGAAAGTAGACACAGGGTGCTGAGAGGAACTGAAATGGGTTTTCAAAAGGGTCATAAAGGTCACATCTGCAGACGGCTATATAGAAACCTTTGATATCAATAGAATAAAAAATTACAACCTTACCTTGTAATAACGAAAATAGTCTCGCTCTTGCAATTTTTTTATTTTGGGGAAGATTTTGTAGGTATTGAAGTTATCGATGCTGTCAATATCACACAAACAATCATCCAGAACTCCAGTGACCTAGAATTTAATTTAAAATATCTAAATTACTGATGTTTCAACCTTAACAAATCTATACTATTATATAAAAATATAATTTACTCAAGTTAGCTGGTATTTGCTTATTAAGATATAACATTAATGCAGTTAACTTACTTTTTACTGTGGTCAATAAAATAAAAAACAGAAAGATTAGCTATCCCCATTCGAAAGAACTTTTTAAGTGCTTGAAGAGTACTGAATTCTCCTTCCTCTACCTAAACATATATGAAATCCAAGTAGCCACTGCAATACAAAAGCACTATCTTCCCAAACTAACCTAGAAGTTACAGATGGTAGTAACACTGCTGTCACTAGCACCTCTTTCATCTCTTTCCTTTAGGCTGACATTTACAGAACACTTACGTGATACACACAGTATTAAGAGCTTTATGTTACCTCATTTACTCTTCAAAAGTATTCCATAAGTGAGGTATTATTACCTTTATATTACAAATAAGAAAATTAAGGTTTAGCAGCCTTGGCTGAGTGCGGTGGCTCACACCTGTAATTCCAGCACTTTGGGAGTCTGAGTTGGGTGGATCACCTGAGGTCAGGAGTTTGAGACCAGCCTAACATGGCGAAACCTTGTCTCTACTAAAAATACAAAGATTAGCCAGACATGGTGGTGCATGCTTGTAATCCCAGCTACTCAGGAGGCTGATGCAAGAGAATTGCTTGAACCTGGGAGGCGGAGGTTGCAGTGAGCCAAGATCGTACCATTGTACTCCAGCCTGGGCAACAGAGCGAGACTTTGTCTTAAAAAAAAAAAAAAAAAAAAAAGGCTTAGCAGCTTTAAAAGTAATTTTTCCAAAGGAGAAATGGAACTTATTCCCAATCTGTCAGACTTTAAAATCTGATCTTATCCACTAATCCAAGAAGGAAATTGGTATTTACAAAGTGAATTTAGAGTCCCAAAATTCCACAAAACATTCTTCAGCTAATTTAAAAATGGAACTCACTGGCTGATATGCATGACGTGGATTTATCTTCCAGGAATTATCCTGAATGAAAAAGCCAAGCCAAAAGGTTACATACTGTATAATTCCGTTTATGGAACACTTTTTAAATTAAAAAAACATTTTAGAAATGGAAAGCATATTATTGGTTTCCAGGAATTAAGGACTGGGGTAGGAGATGGAAGGTGGAGGAGGTAGGGTAGAAAGGAAGTAGTGCTATAAAAGGGCAACAGGAGGAATATTTGTGGTGATGAAACTGTTCAGTATTTTGACTGTGACGGTGAAGACATGAACCTGTACGTGTGATAAAATTATATGGAACTAATACATACACGCACAAACAAAACAAATAATACTGAGAGAATCTGAATAGGATCAGTAGATTCTATCACTGTCAATATCCTAGTTACAACACTGTGCTACATGTTTACAAGATGTTACCATTGGGATAAATAAAGAGTATATAGGATTTCTCTGTGTTACTTCTTGCAACTGCATATGAACTTATAACTAAAATTTCCAAAAAAACAAAAAAATGGGGCTCAGCCTGTTAAAGGTTATTTACGTGGTCCATAGGAGGAATATATGCAAGTATCAGAAAATGGAAACCAGTCTTCGCAAGCTGTTTCATTCTCATTCTCTCCCCCTAGGACTATAAATGCGTCTCCAGACTCCCTTCAACAGAGTTAGGGCTACATTATCTTGAGATAAGTGATCATTATCAAGAATTCTGGCTCTAGAGTTATATATACTTTGCTATCCCACTCACTAGGTCATAACTCACAAATTTCATTCCATTGCTCTATCTACAAGACTTCAAATTCTATTTTTTTCTTTTTTTCCCTCCAGCATGAAATATATTCGTAAAGACTTCAAATGCTAGCCCCTAAATAACAAAAGGAAAAATACAAACCAAAAAGCTTTCCAGGTTTTAAAAATATTTTATCTAGAAATTGTTCTTATAAATTTTTATTAAATTGCTGACTTGTAGGTTATAAAGCACCGTATTTTACTTCTTTAAAACATTTTAATTGTGGTAAGGGATGGGTTAAGGTATACGAAGTTGCCATGTACATATTTGTAACCTTTAAAGACTCCCGATACAGAAACCTGTGCATCACCAAAAACTTTTTAAATACTACCAGTATTATAAGTAAAACAGAAAACAGATCTTGGTAAGGATGTGGAAAAAAGGGAATGCTTACACACTGTTAGTGGGAATGTAAATTAGTTCAACTCCTTTGAAAAACAATATGGAGATTTATCGAAGAACTAAAAGCAGAACCATCATTTGACCCAGCAATCCCACTATCTACCCAAGGAAATCATTATATCGAAGACACCTGCACTTGAACGTTTATGGCAGCACTATTCACAGCAGTGAAGTCACGTAATCATCACATAGTCAAGTGCCCATCAACAGTGGATGGAATGACGAAAATGTGGTCCATGTTAACCATGGAATACTAAGTAGCCATAAAAAAGAATGAAATCATGTCCTTTGCAGGAACATGGGTGCAGCTGGAGGCCATTATCCTAAGTGAATTAATGCAAAAACAGAAAATCAAACATTGCATGTTCTCATTTATAAGTGGCAACTAACAATGAATACACATGAAGATAGAGATGAAAACAACAAACACTGGGGATCCTAGAAGGTGAACACGAGAGAGGGAAACAAGAGCTGGAAAAACCGTCTACACCCATGTAACGAACCTGCACATGTACCCGCTGAATCTTAGAAAAAAATATTACCAGCATCCTTTAAGGTCCTCCTTAATCACATCTACCTCCTCTCCCTAATGGTAAAAATTAAATACTGTTTTTCTTACCAGTTTTTCTTTTTCTGATAATGCATCCCTAAACAATATGAGGTTTTTTCCCCCGTTTTTGAACTTTAATATTAATGGAATCTAACACGTGAATTTTTCTGTAATCTGCTTATTTTGCTAACACTTTATTACGGCATCTATCTACGATGATGAGGGTTTATAGTACCTCATTCATTTTCCCTGTTGCAAGTGTTACATTTTATTAGAATGTCATAATTTATTCATTCTACTCTTGAGGCATACAGTAGGCAGAATACCCACCCCCAAGATGTCCCTAATTCCTGAAATATGCAAATATATTATTTTTGCATGGCAAAGGGGACTTGAAAGATGTGATCAAGTTAAGGCTCTTGAGATGGGAAACCTATACTGGATTATGCGGGTGGGATGAGTGTAGTTACAAAATTCCTTATGAGAGAGGAACACGGGAGTGTCAGAGTCAGAGAGAGACTGGAAGATGCTATTCTGCTGGGCTTTGAAGACGAAGGAATAAAGAGGTCATAAGCCAAAAATCATGGAAACATCTAGAAGCTTGAAAAGGCGCCTCCAGAAGGAAATGCGACCTTCCTGACACCTTGATTTTAACCCTGTCAATCCCATTTTCAGAATTCTAGCCCCCAGAACTACAACACAATAAATACATTTATGTTGTTTTAAGTCATTACATTTGTGGCAGTTTGTCACAACAGCAATAGAAAATTACCACAATCCATATTTAGATTGTTTTCAGATTTGGCTAAAGAACATTGCTACACAAATGTTTTTGCTTACATATCCTGGTATAAAAACACACGCAAGAATTTCTCCAGGTTAGGCCAGGCACAGTGACTCACACCGGTAATCCTAGCACTTTGGGAGGTGGACACAGGAGAACCGAGACCAGCCTGGGCAACACGGCAAAACCTCATCTCTACAAAAGTACAAAAATTAGGCAGGCCTGGTGCGCATCTGTAGTCCAGCTACTCAAGAAGCTGAGGTGGGAGGATCACCTGAGCCCAGGAGGTCAAGGTTGCAGTGAGCCAAAAATCATACCACTGCACTCCAGCCTGGAGAAAAGAGTGAGACTTTGTCTCAAAAGAAAAAAAAAAAAAAAAAGTTTCTCCAGGTTATACGCTTAGGAGTGGAACTGCTATAAGTGTATGTTCAGCTTTCCCAGGAAATGGCAAAATGATTTCCAAAACAGTTGCACCAATTTAAATGGGAGTTACTGTTGAGCCATATCCTCACAAATTTTTTTTTTTTTTTTTTTTTTGAGACACTCTGTTGCCCAGACAAGAGTGCAGGGGCACAATCCTGGCTCACTGCAACCTCCGCTTCCTGGGTTCAAGTGATTCTCGCCCCTTAGACTCCCGAGTAGCTGAGACTACAGACCTATGCCACCATGCCCAGCTAATTTTTGTATTTTTAGCAGAGACAGGGTTTCACCAGTTGGCCAGGTTGGTCTCAAAACTCCTGGCCTCCAGTGATCTGCCTGCCTTGGCCTCCCAAAGTGCTGGGATTACAGGTGTGAGTCCCTATGCCAGCCCACATCCTCACCCATATTATTAATTTATGCTTTAATTTTTGCCAATCTAGTTAGCATGAAATGTTATCTTTTTTCTTACTTGTACTAATAAGGTACAATGTTCATATGTTTCACAAGACATTTGTATTTCTGCTTGCGTAAAATGTCTATTTATATCTTTTATTCACTCTTCTATTTGGTTATCTACTTCATACTCATCTGCAGAAATCAATACTGTTTCCTTCCTATTCTATAATATTCTTTCAGAACTCCAATTAGATGTATTAGACATCCTCACTCTATTCTCCAGGTATCTTAAGTTCTCTTTAATATTGATTATCCCGTTGTCTCTCTAGATTTCATTCTGAATAATTTATTTGCATCTATCTTCCATTCACTTATTAAGCAAGCCTATTTTACTGAGGCCCAACATAAGAACTGCACTAAGTGCTGGGAATATAAAATTAGAAGAAAAAAAAAAAAAACAGACAAAAATCTCTGCCCTCAAGGAGTTTACATTCTCACAGGGAGAAGGGAATGCAAAATGAATGAGCAAAGTATAGAATTTCAGATGGTAATAAAGTGATATAGAACCAGAAAACTAGGGACTGGAAACAGATTGCAGAATTGGGGCTGCTGACCATTTAAAATGGGATAGTTACAGAAGGTGTACAATAAAAGTTGGCA